CCACACAGCTCCGTGGCCACCACACAGCTCCGTGGCCGAAAGCAGGATTGTGCGGTGGCCGCACGGGTTTGTGTGACCGCCCGCGCGTGTTCGCGAATACAGAGCGACTGTCCCCGCTTGTGTGTGGGACACAGGTCGTCACATGCGCAGCTTACATGTCGTAGGCGTGTAGGCGTCTACTGGAACCTGAAAGCCCGTTCCGGCCTGTTTATCTCATGTATGTTGCGGTACCAAGTCGGTCACGCACGGACACCTGGACCTAGTGATGTCAGTCTGTGCCGACTTTCGTCAGCGTGTAACGGAAGCGGAGGAGAGCCAGGGACATTCCTGGGAAAATGACGGTGGACACGACCGCCGTGCGGAGACGCGGGAGCTTCGCGGACACAGAACCGGCCAACGTGAAATCTGGGAGCTTGATCTTCGGCGAGGACGTGGGACCGCGAAGCCCCTGCAGGAGGGAGCGCGGTCACGCTCCCTCATGTGCGCGGCCCCGTCTAACAAATACGGGCCATCGTCCTCGGATTTTATCGTGCGTGACTCTTGTGACCGGTGATTCACTGCTGCGCGCAAGAGCTGCGGCCAGAGCCCGAGTGCGGGGGTGACGGGACCCCCCCAGAGGCAGAGCGGGGAGCAGCACGGCGGATCCACAGAGCCCCGCGGCGGAGGGGTGTCTGCTACGCCCTGGGCTCACATTCCCGGCCATCCCCGGACACCCCCGGCCCTGGGAGGGGGCAGTCGTGTTCCTGCGAGCTGCCCTGGGCGCTGGGCTGCCCCTCCGGACCGCTCTTGGGGTGCTGAGCTGCCTCCTCCTGGCTCAGACCCCTCCAGGAACCGGGCAGGCGCTGAGGCGATGAGCCATCGCTGCAGCTCTCCCCCAAGATACTGGGGAGTCCCGCCCTTTCCCTGCGGGGGGCCACAGGGACCCCAGAAGAGCCCCGGGGTCCAGGGCAGGCCACCTCGACCCGGGGAAGCCCAGGGTCACCCACCACCGTCCCTGGCGGGCCCGACCCGGTCCCGGCGCGCCTGACCTACCTGCTGCTCCCGCGCGGGCCCATGCATCGAGTCTGGGGCTCCCCCGGGGCCTGTTGGGCGGAGCCTGCACCCCCAGGCACCCCCAGGCACCAGCCTGCAGCGTCTCCTGGTCTTGCCCGGCTCCCCTCTGACCTCCGTTTCTCCTCCTGCAGGGGACGACTTCAACCTGGAGGACGCCCTGGGCGGTGGGGGAAGCTGTGAGTGTCCCCTGGGCCCCCCGCGCGGCCTCTGGCCCGCGTCCGCCTCCTGCTGTGTCCCCAGAACGTGCTGCCCGAGGCCGCGCGGCCCACGAGCTTGGCCCCAAAAGCTACAACCTCCCTGGCTTGAGCTCACCCCTTTCTGTCCACGCTGACATGTTTGCACGCTCTTTGGGGTGCCGGAAACGAGGCGGAGGTTCGCGCTTCGCCGCGCGTCCCCCAGGCTGGCGCGCTCGGCGGCGGCCATATTGAAATCGTCGCCACCCCGCGTCTTGGCGGGCGCCGGGCTC